ACTTTTCTTCACCTTCTTGTACTTTAGTTTCCTTGTCAAATGGAGATGATAATTCTAACTAGCCACCTCACCGTTTCCTTTTGTGAGAAGGAAATACAATTGGGCATCTAAAGATCAAGACCTAGAAAACAGTAGGCACCCCAGCATGTCACCTGTCACAAGAGTTAATTCAAGCCTGATTCCTTACCTATTATGATGTTGAGGGTCAAGTGGAATCTTGAATGTGAGATGACTGTGTGATCTTTCGGAACGGAGGGAAACCTGGGAAGTTTCATTTCCATCACTGCCTTTGCTACTGCCTCATTCCCTCTGGCTGGGCGGGGCAAGGCAGGGTGCCGAGGTCACCCCGTCGCCATCCCCACTCTCAGGAAGGACCCTTTCTCCATCACAGAACATTGGCAAGAAGATGTCCTGCCAGCAATTCATCGCCAACTTGGACCGTCTGAATGATGGCCAAGACTTTGCCAAAGACCTGTTGAAGGTACTGCCTGTCAGGAGGTATTATCTGTGTCCTAGGTGGGTGGAAAAGGGTCAGGTCTCTGCACTACTAAATCTCGATATTCCAGAGTCTTACAATTGAGTGTGGGCCACCATGACACTTGGGATAGAGTTAAAAAGAGACTATTCAGCTCAACCTTTCACGATCACATGTTCTCTGAGTCCACTACCATCATTATTGTCATGGTAGTCGTCAACATTGCCACTAATCATCACAGCTGCCACCACCATCACCATTACCAACCATCATGCACCCCCACCACCGGGATTACCACCACCTTCACCCAAACCAGCCTCAACATCCCTGTAGGGAAAAGACCATTCATCCTCCAACACCAACAAGAATGAAAGGAATCCAGTTTTCTTCCGAGACAGAAGCCCAGGTTGGAACTCTGGCCTCCGAAGCCTGGTCAGGTCTCTGCCTTGGAGGAAGAGCAGGAGGTTTGGGGAGATAGACGCGGAAGGAACTTTTTGAATGGCTTTGTGATACCAGGTGGACGTGAGTCTGGAGGTCACAAGATAGAACATAAGCTCTACCCCTCGTCTTGGGATAATTGTCTTCTTCACCATTAAGGAGCACTGGTTTGAAACATATTTCTAAGTGAGATCAAACAATTCCAGACCCACCACCTACCTATGTGCACCTCTCTCCATGTGCTCATTCATCCATCTACCTACTTTGTCACCTACATCCACTTCTTTACCCCCACGTCTACTCACTAATCCTCCCATGCATGCATGCTCATCCACCCATCCACCCACTCAATCATTCATCTACCCATCCACCCATTCACTCAATCATCCATTCGCTGACCCCAACTCTGTATAGCCCCAAACACCCCCTCATTCACCTAGCCATAAAGTCTTCACTTATACAGTCACTTGCCCACCCAGCCATCCTACCCACCAACCCATTCACCCCCATTGATCCACCCAGTCTTCCACCACTCATGAAGCCCAAACTCCTCCACATACACTCACCATAAACCCACCCATTCCTCATGATTTCATCTTTCCACCAACTTCCCTTTTTAACCACCTATCCCTCACGATTCATTCTCTGCATTGTATCCATCTACTCACCAACCTCTCATCCATCCATCCATCCATCCATCCATCCATCCATCCATCCATCCATCCATTGATTCCTCTATCCTGTTGAGCACTTATGCACTGGAGACTCAGTGATGAGCAAGATGGGCTACCCCTGATCTTGTGAAGCTAGATGTGCACGCCCCGCCCCCCTTGGGATTATCACCACCTTCAACAAAACCATCCAGGGGAGACATACATTAAATGAGCTACTAATGAAATGTCACACATACACACACCCACTCACCTAGCAACAGACAGACAAGACTCAGACACACTTTGGCCCCCTGGCTAAGAAGGCACTGCTGCTTTACACACACACACGTTGCTGGAGGAGGTGGGGATTGCTTCGACGCTTCACCCGGATCCTCTCTCTGCCTTTGTCTCACTCCAGACCCTCTACAGCTCCATCAAGAGTGAAAAGCTGGAATGGGCCATGTGAGTAGCACCCAAGGGCTTAGACCTAGGGAGACGGAATCACTGGGAGGGCGAGTGGTTGGTGGCCAAGGGACACCACTTCGGACACTCTCCAAGGTGCTGATTCTTCCCAACTCATGGCTCTGGTAACTCTATCCCCCTGGCTAGCCCCTGATGCTGAGTTCTCCTTTGGGCTTATTTTCTGTCTTAATAAAAAAAATTCTGTAGTGTTTACACTGCAGTGGGATGGACTAAACCACGGCTTTAGCTCCATGATGACAATAGCTAGTCTCTGGCTCTGGCCATTCCACCACAGTACCCAATGATGACAAGTCTGTCTCCTTTGGGTGATTAGAAAGCAGGCATTATGAACCCTTTAGGACCTTTAGGAATGACCATGCTTAGGGTGGTGACTGGGAGGCTTGCAACCATCTGGAAAGAAGTGTGGTTGGTAACCTTGCTGGCGATGTGAGAGGCTTCTGGGGAAAGTGGCCGCCTCTCCCTGATATACTTTCCAAGGCAGCCTGAGCTTGCAGACCCATGTAGAGTTCTCAGATAGAGATCATTGGAACGCCAGCCCCACTGGGAAGATTTGACATTCGGAGGCCCCAGGCTGCAGGGCCTTATCTACTGGCCCAGCCTCTCTGCACATGTGTGTGGGAAGCAGCTTCAAACTAGCTGAACTCTCAGGGCAAGAATGGAGAGAGGAGCAGGAATAGTGGGCAGGAGGTCTGGAGGTAGTAAGGTCTCCAACTTTGTGATCAAAGAAGATTAGATCAATATTGATGAAGATTGGAGCTGGGAGGCCAGAGATGGAAAATCAGAGGTCAGGGATCCAAATGGAGGACTAAGGGGAAGGGGTTGAAGATCAAAATCTGTGGTCTGGAATTGAAACCTCCCGTGTGTACCCCTCACAGCTGCCCTTCACCTATTACCCTTGCTCCCAGAGGAGTGGTTGGTGGGGAGAGGGGATGTCAATGTGGGGCCGAGGCCTACCTGGAGGTGGCGCTCAGCCCTAGTACTTCTCTAGTGATGAGGACGAGCTGAGGAAATCACTGTCTGAGCTGGTGGATGACAAGTTTGGGACAGGCTCAAAGAAGGTGACAAGGATCCTGGATGGTGGCAACCCCTTTCTGGATGTCCCACAGGCTCTCAGTGCCACCACCTACAAGCACAGCGTGCTGACCCGGAAGACTCACGCCGACATGGATGGCAAGAGGAGTAGGTGCCAGGCTGGGTGGGGCAGATGGGGTTCTAGCCTCCCTGGCATGCTGTCCGGGATGCACACACAGGTGGACAGATGGGGGACGCCGGGCGAGGGGATACTGAAGTGGGTGGTTGAGACCATCCAAGTCACACTCCCCTCTCCAGCTCCCCGAGGGAGGCGAGGCTGGAAGAAATTCTACGCGGTGCTCAAAGGAACCATCCTGTACCTGCAGAAGGTGAGAAGCTGCCCCAGCACTCCTGCTCGGGGTGGTCCTGTCTAGCCTCTGTCTGGGGGACTTGGGGTCTGAGAAGATGAATCTTGCATGGATGGCGGGTCCTTCCCCCCTCAGTGGGGTGACTCAGGCTCACCCAAGGCTTTGGAGGCTCCAGGGAGGGATCTTTAAAATGCACAGTGGCTGAGGGGATCCCCAGAGTCAGGCTGCTTTAGGCATATGGGGCACATAGGATGTGTGTGTGTGTGTGTGTGTGTGTGTGTTGGGATGGGTGTGGCTTTGCTAGGCTGTAAAATGGAGAGCATTCGAGAGATGGGGAGGAGCAGGAAAGGGGATGGGGAGGTGGAGGGTGCCGGATGCCAGATGTTCATCCCCACCCCATCCCCCTGCCGTCCAGGATGAGTACAGGCCTGACAAGGCCCTATCAGAGGGCGACTTGAAGAATGCCATCCGTGTGCATCACGCTCTGGCCACCAGGGCCTTTGACTACAGCAAGAAGTCCAACGTGCTCAAGCTGAAGACAGCAGACTGGAGGGTCTTCCTCTTCCAGGCCCCGTAAGTAGACGCTGGAACCCTTTGGCTCTGGACCTGCAGTCGTCACCCCCCCCCCCCCCCCATCAGTTTCAAGGTGGACACCCTCTGCTTCCCCTGCTGGTCAGTCACAAGTGCAGATGTAGCTGCTTGACCCAAGCCAGCAAGTGGGGTCATCTAAAGCAGTGAGCATCCCTCGGGACGTGAGAGAAATGTAGTTTCCCTGGCCCTCTTTCGAGATGGGGCTCCACAGTGGTTTGAATAGCCCTCCAGGGATTCCTTATCCATAAAGACAGGGAAGATGGACTTTTCATGAACCATCTTTCACTTTATATTTGAGGACGGGCGGCGGGAAATATTGAACCCGCGGTTTACCTGGAAAACAGTCCTTCCACTCTCTGAAGTTCCTTCTGTGACGTTTCTATGAGGCTTCATGGCTCAGGTGGAGACGGGCATATGAGGCATCAGATCAGAGTGTAAGTGGCCTGGCCTGGTAGGGGAGGTAGGAACAGGAGGGGTGTTTCCGGTTAGCTGCAGGGGAGGAATGACCACTTACCCAGCTGCCTCTAATGATCACCTGGGCCCACTGCCTCCAGGGCCTCTTGGATCTGGGGCCCATTAGCTCCAGGGCTCTAGGCCCTGTCAGCTCCAGGCCTAACAGCTGAAGGGTCTCTTTGCTCCAGAACCAATTGGCTCCAGGACCATTATTAGCTCTTGGCTCCAGTAAGCTCCCAGGCTGTTAGCTCCAGCGCCCTTGAGCGCCAGTGTGGTTTGTCCCAGGTCTTGTTAGCTCCCAGGCTGTTAGCTCCAGGCTGTATTAGCTCCAGGACCATTAGTACCAGGGTCTATTAACTCCAGCACTCATTAGCTCCAGCCCTGTTAGCTCCCAGTCCTGTTAGCATCAGGGTCCCCAAACCCCAGGGCAGCTAGCTCCAGGCCCCATGAGCCCCAAGTTCATTCGCTCCAGGACTCATTTTCACCAGGACTTAGACTCAGGGCCATTAACTCCAAGACCTGTTTGCTCCAGCGCCATGGGCTGCAGGTCTGGGCAACTGTATTTTCACTTGAAAGTCCAGGTCCCATCTGAGATCTGGGAGCGAATGGGAGCATGCTCTCTAGTCCTAGCATGGCCCTGCTCACTTACCTATCCACCCCTCCTCTCTTGATTCCTTCACCTGCCTCTAAAAAGGCCTTATTAATGCCTCTCAGGAGCCCTGGTGGGCAGAGTGGTTACGTGCTGGGCTACTCACCACGAGGTGTTCCCAGGGAGAAAGACGGGGCTTTCTTCTCCGGTAAAGTTACAGCTCAGAAATGCCCCCGTCCTATAGGGTCCATATGAGTCAGACTGGACTGATGGCAGGGAGTTAGTGAGAAGTGATGCCTCTCAAGGCCAGGCCTAATGCTGGGGGCTGGGTGAAAAGCTGTCGCCCTCTCCCCCTCTTCCCGACCTCAGGAGCAAGGAAGAAATGCTATCCTGGATCCTTAGGATCAACCTGGTGGCTGCCATCTTCTCAGCCCCTGCCTTTCCAGCTGCCGTCAGCTCCATGAAGAAATTCTGTCGGCCCCTGCTGCCCTCCTGCACCACGCGTCTCTGCCAGGTACAGGCTCCTAGGACCACGGCCCCCTCTCCCCAGGTGGCCTTTCCTCCCCCAAGCCCCCATTCAATAGCTCCCCCTTAGTTCCTTTTGTAGGATGCCTGGTCCTGAATGAAAGGACACAGGAGAAGGGCCAACAGTTCCCTTCACCTCCGCTCCCATTCTCTGTCGGAAAGACACGTCCACACACCACACAGCCTGACCCTGCTGTGCGGGGTGGTGTGCATGGGGGTCTCTGGGTCGGTCATGTCTGTCTCTGGGCATGGATGTGCGAGAATGTGGGTGCCAGGTGGTGCTGGGGAGGGCAGATGCCAGACTGGCCCTTGGTCCGGTGTCGTCGTGAGTGTGCAATGAGGGTTCTTTGAAGCCAAGCGTGGGTCTGGCCGACTGTGGATCTTCACTGCATCAGGCGGCAGGGAGTGTATGCATACACTCTAGATTCCGGCCAGGCCTCAGATGCTCTTTGGCGGAGCAGGCTTCCTGCCTACCTTCCTCCAACCGAATGAGACCCACCCCTGTGGCATGTTGCGAGGCCCCTCTGCTCACGGTGCAGGCCGTCTCATCGTAGGAGGAGCAGCTGCGGTCTCACGAGAAGAAGTTGAGGCAGGTGACCGCAGAGCTGGCTGAGCACAGGCGCCGCCCCGTGGAGCAGGCTGTCAAGTCCAAGGAGGCCGAGGAGTACCGGCTGAAGGAACACTACCTCCTGTTCGAGGTGGGCCCTTGGGGGGGGACTGGGGAGCTGGGCTGCGGGAAGAAGGCAGGACCGCAGTCACTCCCACACGGACGAGTCTCACCTGGACCCTGAGAAGGGAAGGTGCCCTTTGGCTGGAAAGACCCAATGGATTTGAAGCGTGGGCCTGGAACACCAGGCCTCCCAGGGGGCAGAACCAGCCTTCCTGTGGCCATGCTGCTCCTCGGGCCACCTCCAAACATGGGGAGAGAATTGAGTTGGCGCTCAGTGCGGCACCCGCAGGGTCACAGCTCTGGGCCCTGCTAAGGGACGGAGGAGGCCAGAGCAGGGGGTGCAGTAAGCAAGGATGGTCTTGGGGATTGTCTCGCGGGGAGTCTGAGGGCTCAGGAGCCTCCGCTGGAGGTCCAGTTCCTCTTGGTCCTGCCCCGCCGAGCCTAGATTGAGTGTGGAGCCTGTGCGGTGAGACCTTTCCAGGCCCTGGGCTTTTTGGCCTTCTCTAGTTCCTGCCGATCGGAGTGGATGGCAGACAGAGAGGCTGAGGCTGAGCCAGGAAGCCCACGGAGTAAAGATAGGAGGGCACAGATCTGTCTTTAGATTCCCACGTTGATTTTCCGTTAAGGTAGGTGGAGAGAGAGGAATGTTCTCAGGATAGCTCCTGACCTTAGGTTTCTCAAAAGCTTAAGAGCCACACTCCCTCCGATGTCAAAAATATCGATGGCAGAGGCTGCTGTGCACTGATGCCCCACGCACGCCAGGTGTGGCCCTCCTCATGTCCCTCGCAACGGCTAACTTGATCCCCATGTCAACCCTGTGAAATGGGTTCTGTAACTATCACTATGCAAAACAAACACTGCCTTTATGCATTTGTTATAAAAAAAACACCCCCTTTATTGTGTGCAGCATCTTGGGTGAAATATTTACAGAGCACATCACCAGCTTTATAGTCCACATTTCAAACACAGCGTATTTCCGCGCAGCCACTGCAACCTCCTCACCGGACCGTCAGGTATCCCACTTCCTTCCTGTGATTCCTCTTTGCTTCCCTCCCTCTTTCTTAGCGCCTTCAACGTGGTCCTTGTGTAAATGCTGCCCTTGTGATCTTAAATAGTTTGATTATTCTACCACAGGGGTGAGTTCAGGTCCAGAATGAAGGGTGAGTAAAGGGCATAGTCTCATCATCTGGCCAGTGAGCCTGGTCTCTTACGAGTTCTGTTCCACGTTTCTTCCACCCAATCTAGGGCCTTTTAACACGATTGTTTTCAGAGCGGTTGGTTGGTCTGTCATGGGAGCTGGGCACCATCTAGTTCTTCTGGTCTCAGGGTCACGGAGGCTGATGCTTGCATGATCCATTAGTCCTTGGATCAATTGTTTCCATATGTCTTTCAGTATTCACTGTTGTTTCCTCTGGATGGCGAGAGACAAATTGTTGCCCTTTAGATGCCTGCTCATGAACTTTTAGGACCCCAGTCACGATACATCAAAGTAGGATGTAGATGCTGCACTGACCACAGTGGAGAGTGTGGACTATGTCAGGCCCACTGACCTTGTGTCCCCGTATTCTCCAGGCCAGCAACTCATTCCTGTAAGGCGTTTGGTTATGTCTAAAAAGCTTTTCTTACTTTGTGCCCATATGGTTCACCAAATTCATGGATATATTTGCTGCAAAGTTAAATACACATATGTAAATATCATCTGTCGAATCTGCATATATTAGCAGGCATCCTGCACATGCCTGTTCAGTCTCCATGTCTGTCGACATGCAGATCGCCACTGTTGTACCACGGAGAGGGTTTTCGGGGGGATCTGGTACTGCTATTTCCAACTTTTCTGAGGGACCGCTGTATTGTTTCCCACAATGGTTGCACTGTTTTTTAGTCCCACCAGCAGTGGATGAAGGTCCCAGTCTCTTTGCATCTTTGTCAGTGTTGGTTTTCTTCTTTAACTTTGCCCTTCATGCTGGGGTGAGGTGACGCTGACTGTTGTTTTGATTTGCATCTCTCAAATGGCTAATGATTGCAAGCATTCCTCAAAAGGTTGGGGGCCGAACGAAACCCCCCCTGAAAAGGGCCAATCAAGGCCCAAGCCCAAGTTAAAACAAAATAACCTTTTTTCCCCCTTGTTAAGGTGTTGAAGTTTTCTACAGCCCCTTGTCCAATAGGCCGATGTGTTCCCCAGTCTGTAGGTTTTCTTTTTACTCTTTTTTGTGAAATCTTTTTTCCTTTTTCTTTTATTGGGGGCTCTTACAGGTCTTACCACAATCCATCCATCCATCCATCCATCCATCCATCCATCCATCCATCCATCCATCCATCCATCCATCCATTGTGTCAAGCATATCTGTACTTATGTTGCCATTATCATTTCAAAACATTTTCTTAAATTTTTTTTAACATTTTCTTTTTACTTGAGCTCCTCATTTCCCCCCTCCCTTCCCTGTCCTCCCTCCCCCATGAACCCTTGATAACTTAAAAAAAATTTTTTTTTAGACATTTTATTAGGGGCTCATACAACTGTTATCCCAATCCATACACACATCAATTGTGTAAAGC